AGATGTCATTGTATAAGAGTGAAAGATCTATTTATAGAACCCACCATGTGAGGTTTGTCCACACAAGCAAAAGGTGCGTGGAAGAGTTTTGAATAAAATTGGACGTGCCAAAGCCCACGATTTGTGACGTCAGCATGGCGATTTAAATTTTTTTTAATAATAGGATGGTACGGACGGTTGAATCCCGTTTTTTCTTTGGATTTGGGACGGCTTGGGCGATACCCGATCAGGATCGTCCGATTCTGGATCGGATCGCCGATTTTTCAAACACTGCCTAAAACTACTGCTCCATCTGGTTCAATCTTCTTGGAGTCAAAGAGATGAGGTATTTCTCGATGTCCTCAAACTACTTTTGTTCTCTAATAGAGCTATTGCTAGGCTGCAGATCTGCAGTGGTTTCTTAAGAAAAGTCCATTTCAATATTATCCTTTCAGTTTGATTTCCACCGCACTCCTTCATGGTAGAATCAATTGACTTGGCAATTGTGTGCTTAGGATTGTCAAGATCAATCATGACATCCGGAGGCCTTTGGGTCAAGCACTTTTGATCCAAAGCGCCTATCCACCACCAGGTTGAGCCCGCTGTCATCAATCACATTCTTTGTATGGATTCCCCTTCGCTTTTCTTTGATTTGTTGAATAGATCCTTGAATCCTACCTTTCTATCTTTTTCTCTTTGATGGGTAACTCCTTCATCACCATGATTATGACTCATGTTTTATTGGAGAGGAAATGGAACTTGCGAAGCATGAATGGCCCTCTTTTGCCAGGGAATTGGTTGGTCTTTCCTCATGTGCTGCATTTTCCTCTATGGTATTCGGCATGAAGAACATCTTAAGTTTCAAAGAAATATGAACAATAATACATTGTTCCTAAGGGCTTAAATGCAAGCACCCCACCATTTTAATCTAATGGAAAGAGAGATTAGTGAGGTAACATGTACCAATACTGATCTTGCACATGGGATACAACGGATGCATTCACCTTGTTATTCCCACATAAACCTTTACGGTCACATTCAAAAAGGCAGCTCTTCCTTTCGGATTCATTGAATAATTAAAATTTTCACATGCAGTACATGATCCTTGAATATGTTATCCGTTGGATTGCATACGTGACCAAGTCACATTTTCCTTGCTCTCTTGGCTTGCAAGCCTCTAGAATTCCCGGGTCTTGCTTCTGCTAGAATTGCAACATTTTTTTTCGTAGTGCCTTAAAAAATTCCACCAATTTTCCTCAATTCGGGAGTGGTTTAGATAACCTCTTACCTATATTTTGATGCTGCTAGGTTTTTACGTTTTATTTACTTTCTTTAGGAGATTCAATTAGATTTAGATTTTATGATCTTTTAAGTTAAGGTATTTGTGTCTTTTTAGTTGTTCAAAATTGATGGAATAGAGTTGGAAGTTTGATTTTAAATGGTTGAAGGTTTGGAATTTAATTGTCGTTAGGGTTTCTTAAGGAGCAAGATGGGTTGATGGGCTGGCCATGTGTGGCGCAAATGGATGTTGAGATGGACGAATGGTAAGACAAGAAGCGGTAGAATTCAAAATGAATACATTCGGGGTGTGGCACCAATAGGCAATAAGATGAGAGAGAGTAGACATAGGTGGGCTGGCCATGTGTGACGCAGACCCAATACAGCACCTATTAGGAGGTGCGAGTTCGTTCAAGTGGAAGGCTCAAAAAGGGCAAGAAGTAGGCCCAAAAGGACATGGTTGGAAGTAGTAAAATAGATATGGGGACTCATGGCCTCACTGAGGGTATGACCCTTAGTAGAGTAGAATGGCGGACCAGGATTCGTGTATCCAACCGTAATTAGTTGGAAAAAAGCTTTGATGATGATGATGATGAATAGGGGTTTTAGATGTTTTTCTTGTATAAATATGTAAGTATTGGGAAAGGAAAATGAAGAGGATCCAGAGATAGGTTATAATCTCTCACCTTTTATTTTTTGATTTTTGTGATTTTTTTTTTTCTTGCTCCATATTTGTTGCACATTTGGTATTAGAGCTTTAGAGGATCAATGCATCACAATGGCACGAAAGCCCACTCATATGATTGAGGAAAGCATGGAGTTTGTGAATCTGAGCATAAATAAAGTCATGGCAGATATTTGAGTCCAAACCTGCTAAATTAGAGAGAATGGAGAAATAAATCAGCGGTTGTAATGGTAAGAAAATACTGACCTCAAGAAAGGTTAACATAATCCACAATATATCCTTAGTGAAATTTCAATTATGAGATCAATTGAGCTCCATTACCAAATCCAATAGTTGATCTTGTGCATAATGAGCAAATTTGCAGGCAAGAAACATGACTTATGGAGCACACCCCAGATCTTGGTATTAAGGTCAAAACCTCCCTGAGTTTCATTGTAAGCTCCTAATAGAGGGTTTTATTGATTGGTTGAGTGTGATTCAAATTTTTTTTGAACGGAGTGAATTGCTGGAGTGTAAAGCGAAATTTGTTGTAACCAAGCTAAACTTGTATGTTGTGGCTTGGTGGAACAAGCTTAACAATCTTGACTTTGTAATTGAAAGGCAACAATTTCTGATTCGCGAAGGACGAAAAAGAAGTTGAAAGAAAATTTTCTTCATGTGCATGATGAGAAAATTTTCTTTCAAGACTTCCAAAATCTCTAATAGAATGAGAATAAAGTAGAGGACTATACAACATAATTTTATAGACTCCTGGCTTGAAAGAACCTCTACGTGACTGAAAGACAAATGGTTGCTTGTTATGTTAATGGACTCCAACCAACCGTTAGGGATGAGTTTTTTCTACACTGGCCATGGACCTTAAGTGGGGGCTTTTCAAATTAATTTACAAGTTGATGTAGATCAAGATTTGGTTGCTACAAAATTTTAACTTTATTTTTGTTAATTTTATTTTTAGAGATGTGGGTAAACTTTTTATTTTTTTTATGGTTAGAATTGGATTAGTCTGGGTTTTTAGGTTACTTTGATATAGTCCTTTTTTTCTTGGGTCAAGTCCACATCTTTAAATTTTGAAGGGGGGTGGTATAGTGTACCACCACAAGAAGAGCACCTATGTGCATCAGATTTGTGGATAATATGTTATAAAATTAATTATTTAATAGTAAAATACACAAAACTTGCCCATTGAGGTCATTGAGGTTGGATCCTTGGTCTCCAGTGGGGGTGTCCTTTAACACTAAAAAATGATGTGTAAAGAGATGTCTAAATGTTTATATGTATTATTATTTTTAAATTATAATAATTTTTGTACCAACATGTCCTGCCGTACTGATTTTTTTAAATGAAATCCAAGTACTAGACGCTCCTAGTATGATTAGACACCTACACTCACGTTGGTATCTATGTAACACTGGCTGGGATTTAATTGTGGCTAGGGTTTCATGACCATACCTAAACTCAGATTTTAACTTGGCTTTCTTTTGTGAAGCTACACCATATGATCTCCATTATAGGACTGTGGATGTCCTTCTTTCCAACCAGGCTTTACAAGTGAAAGCCTGAGCGACATATGTTTTGTCATAATGTGTGTTACTTCATTCAATGTATATCTCATTTATTTATCAAATTTTGGCTCTTGATACTTTTGATTCGTGTATGAAAAAAATCTCCGATCTGAATTGTTCGTAGCTAATCCATTCTTTGTAGGAAATGGTGTTTGTTATAGAATATATAATATAATGGCTTCTTTTTATTTCAAATCACTTGAAAGGCTTCTGTGGTAGGAGGGATGAGGAAGTAGTGTGATGCCGATAGTTCAAAGGCCCTCAATGCACATTTTTGTTTAATAAACATCATATTTTTAGAGGTTCAAAAGTTAAAATTTTATAGAAACCTTTTTCATGAGGTCCAAATGACTTCTCCTATGGGATTTGAGTGCTGAACCTTGGCTTCAAGGTCACAAATGCTCCCAAAAAGTCTATGCATGCTAGGTGATTTGAAATGGACAAGTTATTGTATGTAAATTAATATTTTGGATTTATTTTCCTTACAAAAAAATTGGCAGATTGTTGATGCCGGATCGGCCGATCCGGATTAGGATCGGGGCCGGAGGATCTGCCAACCAAGTCCTTTTATTTAAACACTGTTTTTGATTAAGGAATTACAGTTTTGGATTTTTGCGAAGAGGTTATTATAGGTGCTACCCCAAATCAACATATTAAATAAATTTCTTTATTTGGCAAGATGATAAACATATTTCACGGATGGATTTTTGCAAAGAGGTTATTATAGGTGCTGCCCCAAATCAACATATTAAATAAATTTCTTTATTTGGCAAGATGATAAACATATTTCACGGATGTCCCAGAATTTTGGCTTTGTCTGTGATGCATGAGTTATCTTTTTCTCTTCACTTCTAAACTTGACTGGCCATGCTATAATTTTATTGGCCCCAACACCCAGTTTGGGAATGTCATCTATATTAAATTATATGAGATCTGCTTGCTTAGGTTTTTTACCTCTCCGAATTCTGAACATTCTGCCTAGGAACCTGAAAAAATATCCACCGCTGTCTTGAACAGATTGATAAGAATTTCCTGTGGTCTTGGGCTTGACAGTCCTTAGATGCACTGGATTATGTAGAATGTGCAATTTTCCATCCTTTTCATTTCATTATTGCCATAGCTTCCATATTTTCCTAATTATTCACTCTTTCTACTCTCTTTCCCTTTTATATTCCTTCATACAATATGAAAAATGATTTGAGTTGTCATTCAATAGTCTGGGGAAAACATCGAAGTTAATATATTCTCCAATACACGTGGTAATATTTTGGATGATGTTGTTGATTAGATTCTTATTAAAATTGTTTAGCATGTTTTGTTTTTGTCTTTTTAGGCGACTTTACTATCATTTATCTTTTTGCAATCAATAAGATTCACTATGTGAATTTCTCCCTCCATGTTTACTGCACTGGTTATTCTCTTGCAATGTTAAACTGATTTCAGTTCCATCTCAGTCTGTCTTTTTGGTAGATTGATTTTTCCTTTCTGTTCTACAGTCTATAATGATGGCACCCTATGCATGGATATCATTCAGGATGCATGGTCCCCCTGTCATAACATTTGTACAATATTAACATCAATTCAGGTCAATAAGCTCTCTCTCTCTCTCTCTCTCTCTCTCCCCCCGTGTTTGTACGCCCTGCCTTGGGTTCTGTGTTTTCTTTTGCTGACATTAGCTGCTTCTATAGTCTCTTCTTGCTGACAGTAGCTGCTTCTGTAGTCACTTCTCACCGATCCAAACCCGGCAAGTCCTGCAAATCCTGAAGCTGCACAACTGTACCAGCATGATATTCAGTCTTATAACAGGTAAACCTTACCATTTCTGAGTTTGTTCTTTTCTTATTCCTCAACTCTCTGAAAACTTTTTATAAAAAGTAATCCTTATTTCTGTATTAACAAAGTTATACAAGTTTATAATTTTTTTGTGCAGGAAAATTCGGCGTTGTGCTCGTCGATCCATTGAGTCTTCATAGCTAATGACAATTTCATGCTTGGTGGTGATTCCTCCCAGCCTGATCTGAAAGGAGATGCACACATTTATTTCAGCCGTATTTGTTTTCTTCTTTTGAGTTGTACCGTTGTGTTATACCATATAAACAAGACACTCTTTGGAAACTTGGGAGATATTTCTACATTCTTTTGATGATTTTTCGCATGGATGCCTGTGAAATACTGTCATCAACTTTTGATGCTTGGACAAATTTGAACTCAGGTTTTTACCCAATCCCCTGATGGGGCTTTGGTTTGATCTCCCTATTTTAATAGATTTTGAAAATTTCAAATTGCCATTGGAATTGCCATGACCTAGGTTCCTAGGTTGATTTGGACCTCCAAACCTGCTAAAAAAAAGTACCTGATGGGCCCTGATGGTCTTTTCTCTTGGTATATATCTAACTCCATAGAGCTTTTTCCTACCGTATCCCTTAAAGCCCTAGGTTTTTGTCCAATTTTCTCTGGAAAATATGAAGTTCCCATAGATTAGTCCGATGTTCTAACATCAGAATGCTGAGCCCCTGTAATTTGGCTGGATTCATGACCACAAAATTCTGGCCATATGGTTTTGCAAGAATCTTGGCAGAAAACATGAAACTCATATACTTGGCCGAAAATCCATGCCAAAAGATTTCAAGACGCCCCTTTTGGTTGGAGTGCTTATCAAAAAATGCTACTACGTTCTGAGATCTTGGCCTATACCAGTTTATCTTCTATCCTTGGGATCTTGAGGCATGTGGTATTATCGACTAGAGTATCTATATGCAGTAGTAGGAAATCATATTTTGGCAATGCTTTGTTGAGATCCTCATTGTCGATGCATTTCTTATTGTACTTAGGTATAACTGCAGTGTTTATTGGTAGTCGATTTGGTATGATGAAATTTGATTAAGCAGCTTGTGAGCCTCTTCCTTAGTTTTAGTTTGCCATGTCAACCTCTTCCTTAATCTTCAATAAGAGGTGTGCCTCCAATTGAAGGTTTTGCCCCTCCATGGAGAACATGGGCCCACATGTGGGGTACCTATCCTTATGTGGGACATGGGCCCACTTAGCTTCCAAGGCCCACACGTCACTCTTCATTGTCTCTCCCCTATTTGGGTTAGGGTTTTTTAAAACAATCCGAGGTGGTTAGGGGGAGAGTTTGATGAGATTAGGACACTTGATTTTATTGGATATATTTTATTTGAAAAATAAATTGTTTTAAAGTTCCGAGACAACTTGAATTGGACTTCTAGACGATATTATAGTCCCAATCCTTATTTATTTTGGATAAACCCAATCCTATCTATGATTACAAAAGAATGCATCAAGGAGATTAAGAGATACAGATTCTAGATTCTATCCCTCTATCATGGTGGTTGATTTAGGAAATGGATGGTTAAAAGGAAAGGCTCTCATCACCCCTCCGATCAGCATGGATTTTTAGCTAAAGCTGAATCCTAATCTAAGATACTTAGGTCGACCCCTACAACAACCATGAATAGGGGCTTAACCCCTCTATTCTCAGCACCTCAGTTTCTAGCCTCTCTCTTTCTCTCAGTGCTCTCTCTACCACATCATCCTCTGTGCTCTCTCTACCACATCATCCTCTATCTCACAGTAGCACGTCCGACCTAGATGGTACCTAGGGTGGAACACACCCCTAGGTAGTCCAGAAAGGGGGTATGCCCAATCTAATTGGGGTGCACTTGGCATACGGATGCATCCGTAGTGGTAGAGGTAATGTGCACCTTCAAATTTTATCATGGTATATAATTTTGATGTAAAATGTTCTTAGGATTATTTCAAAATCTATTTTCTATTTAATTATAAAATTTTAAATTTAAAAAATAGTTAAAATCAATTAGATCTATAGACATATGAAAATCTTGAAAATGGACGGTGTAGATAATATGTTGTAAAATGTACTATTTCTAAAGCTTAAAATCTTTTTATTTTTCATGGTCATACATCTCGATGTCGAGATGATCAATCAAAGGGTTTTTAAACATTAAAACTACCTTTTCCGATGGATTTTTGAGATGCATCCGTAGTTCTACATTATAAGGTTGTATCCTTATATAAACTTTTTCCATCTAATTGAGTAAGGTGAGGTGCCATGCCCAAGCCTAGATCAGTCCTCGGGTAGCATGCCCGTAGAAAGGGCATAGACCTAATTGTTATATGAGTCCTTTCTCTCTCTCTCTCTCTCTCTCTCTCTTGTTCTCTAATTAGGGTGTGCCATCGTATTTCCTATCTTGGAGAGGATTAGCAGGGAACGTAGATCTGTGCGCTATCGGTTTGTTGATCTATAGTTGGGTGTATCAAGTCCTTTAGAGGCGACAATAGACATGCTTTGTTTTGATAAGAATGGCTCCTAGGTGTTGATTCGTGCTTGTAATTAATGTTTTTATCTATAAAATTTTATGTTTTGGCAGCAAGAGTTGATCCTTAGATCACAGTAGCCTTTTATTTTTCTTTAGTTTTTCTTCATATTTTTTTATTCTAAGCGGATCGTGTAAGTAAAATTTGCTTTTATTAATAAAAGAAAAACATAATTTTTTTGAATTTATAACCATGCTATTCTACATTGCTAGAATCTGACAATTTGGACAACGGGTCTAATTTTCAGAGTGAGGGGAATAATCTACAGAGCATGTCTTTGCACTTCAGAATAGGCTGTTATTGTGATGTGCGAAATCTCAAAGTCTGCTTGGGATAGTCCCACTCTTAACACGGTTCCCATGGAAGAAACTTTGAGGGATGCCCCAGTATCGATCATCACCCTTCGTATTTCGTACTCACTCATGAAAGCTGTTATGTAAAGTGGGTAGTTGTGGAAGCGGTCGAACCCCGGTGGTATATCATCTGGCGAATGTTTTAAGGGGTTAGCGTAATAAGAAGGTTGACCATGCTGCCCAAGTCTTCGGTCTTAGTATCAGTTGTGACATGAATCCTTCCGGGTACTGCCTCTATCTGGGCCCTGTGAATGGGCGAGGTATTTAAGAGGTAAAAAATGGACAGGTATTTTGTTTAAGTGAGCACTGAAGATTATATTTTGTGACAGGTACTGTTGTGTTTTTCTCTTGAACATCCTTGTCATTTGAAACGTTGGCAGGTGCAGAAGGCGACTGGTTGGCCTTAGGAGGATTATCTAGTCTTTCCGCTCAGGTGTTCGCCATCAACCTCGCAGGCTTAAAATGACTCCCCATTCTAGTCAAATGATCGAGTTCTTGAGAGTCGTCATTGTTAGCCACAGTGACAATAGCCACAGTGATAATGCCTCCTAAAAAACCATCCGAGATATTTTGTGCTTGAGGTTCTGCTTGGAAGCATATTGCCAATTGACATAGATCATATCGACTATTATTATTTGATCAGCTGCGCCTTCTTTTACTTCTTAGGGAGCAAGGTCTGGAGGGGAAGCGACTGGGTTCCCTTGGGTATCTTCTTGCTCTTGTAAACGAAGATTAGAGTTTAGGGGATCTTCCTTGATGGCTCATCCTCAACCATCACGATGACCACTGAGCTTGGGGTGACCTCCTTGGGCGGCTCATTAGGATTCTTGCCGTTGTCCAGGAGCAAATCAGCAAATATTCCCATTTTATGCTTTGGCGCCTCTACAAGCTTGTCGGTAGGAGTGTGATTGAAAGCAACTTTATCAAGTAGATCATTGATATGACTTTCAAGTGGTAACACTCCTCCGTGTCATGGGTGTGGTTTTGGTGCCAATTGCACCCCTTCAACTTCTCCTTAACCTCAAATTTGGGTTGGACAGGGTTGGGAAGAATAGCGAGCTTCACTTTTAAAATCTTATAAGGAATACTGGAGAGGGATTCTTTTTAGTGGGGAATCTTAACTTCAAGGAAGGTCCTCTTACCTCTAGTATTTTCGTTGTAATTATTGCTGTTGTTTTAACCGACACCCCTAAGCTAGCTATTTTGGGCATCGAGTGCAGTTGATGCTACTTTCTTGTTACTATTGTTTTGCTTGGGTCTCGTTTGGGATGGTGCGGCCATGGCTTGATTTTTAGGCTCAGTAGTAGCCGCCGCGACTTTGGACCTCTTATGGAAATCCACCTGATCAATCATTAGCTCAAACGCGAATGGTTGCAAACCATGATTGGAGAAGTTCTTGTACTATGGTAGAGAATTTTCCAGACATATGCTAATCAAAGAAGTTTTAGTGAGTGTTTCTCTTAAACATCGCTGAATCTATTTGCGAAGTTCGAAAACAGCTCGCCAGGATTCTGCCTAGTGGCAACCAATTCATCGAGGGTCATTACCCATTGCTTAGTCTTGCGATGTTGCGCGATGAAAAGTTTATAATCACCTCTCGAACAAGTCAAAGGCTCGCCAAAAAGGGTATTAGGGAAACACCGCTTTAAGTTGGTGAGGCTTCTCTTCAAGAGATGGAACAATTAAAATTTAAGCAGTGACATGGTTTTTTGGGTCACCGTTCCAACTAAACTTGTTCTTAAATTTATGGAACACAAACCCCAGTGGGAGAGGCTCGACCCTTTTTGAGGGTATCCTTGATGTAAGATTTCAATGGGAGAATGATTGGAACCCCCATCTTCACTAGGGTTTGCTTAAATGTACTTAGTTCGCCCTTTAGGTTTGCAAGCTTAGTCGACTGGGCGGTCTTGGTCTCACCAGTAGGCTGGTTTCCTGACATTAATTGACTAGGCTGGTAGGCTATGTCAGATATGAAGGAGTAGGCTGAGGTTGAGGACCAGCCGAATTTGGTTGAATAGGAAAAGTTGGTCCAAGTGGAAGAGGTTGCGTCGGTGGGTAACATGAACAGGATTGTGGAGCGATCTGAGAAGGTGGGGCCATAGGCTAATAGGCTCAAGCCAGTGGGTGAAAATGGACCAATGGGATAGGATGAGTGGGCTACCGATGGTGACAACTATAGGCTGGCGGCAGCAGTGCAACCAGGAGAGATAGGGTCGCTTGATGTGGCATAGTAGGTTGAGGAGGGGGATAGTGTAGTTGTGCAAGGGCTGAGTGAGCCGACTACTGGTAATGATGGAGGACCGAGGCAGTCTTAGGAGACTATACCGGTGGATTGTAACGTGGCACCTAAGGTGTTGAAGGATTGTGTCTAGATGGAGGTGGATAAACCTGCGGTGGTGGAGGGTTATGTGATGGCCAAGCTGAGACGGCCGCTGGTTGAGGTCAGTTTGCCAAGAGGGTATGATTAACATGACTATGCTAGTCTAGGTCTAAGGGGGCTCCTGACCTTGTTTATGGGAAGAGGCATGAGGTGGGTCTG